GTTACTATTAATTTAAATTTACGTCATAATTTATTATATATATATATATATATATATATATATATTGCGCAGTTTTCGCGCTTACTATTCGTAGATGTCAATTAATTTTAAATATCAATTAAATATCAATTCAATTCATATGAATAAAATCTATACAAAAGAATCATACATCTTTAATGCGAGGAAAGATATATATAAAATATCTCATTGTCACAAAAATACGTTATAATGATTACATTTGCTTTAAATAAACGAATAAGCTATTTTATCCCAGAACCGACCTCGTTTATTCAGGATTCTTGCGAGACGCGTCTCCTGTCCCTACATCTCCTGTCTCTCTACATCTTGATATGTTCTCTTTTTATCCTTCCTACAAGGAATTTTTCAGTTTTCCGCCCATCGTGTCGGAAGGTACCGCTTTTCTCTCCTATTTCCGAAGTTAAACAAACGGTTTATATGAAGTATCGATACGTAGCCAAACACACACTTCCGACGAAGTTTCATTGATATGGTATAAGCAATTTGTTTTGTCGAGCGAAACTTGCCGATACCGATATATATGAGCTGAGTTCTCAACAAAATACTGCTGCGGCTTGGACATACTTCTTCCAACAATAAAGTGACCAAAGACGTACAGCACGGTGCTGTATTGTAGCGCATTTTCATTCAGATCTACTATAGCGTGGAAGCGCGCTTCGTATAACGGGTGAGGCAATTTAAAGCATTGTATCGCAGTTATGCAAGAAATAAATATAACAAATGACAGGACAATTTCTTGTTTATATAAGAAAATCTTGTGGTGCATTAACGTCGCAAAATTTAATGAAATTTATTTAAAAAATCATGAATTATGAATCGTGAACATCGTGAATTATCGTGAATCTTTCAATCATGCTCTCGCTTTACTTTTCCGTTATTGAGGAAACAACGCAAACTATGTGCATGTGTATATATTAAATCGCGAATATATTAATCGATCGCGCATTTCGTGCGAGCATGAGAAGATTCGGGCAATACGCGTGCGGGCAATCCGGAAGATCGTGTTTCGATCGCGCGCTGGAAAATAAGATATCTGTTCCGCGTGCATATAAAAGGGAACGACACTTTCTATGCATGGAAAAATGAAGAGAATCTTATTTCCATTTCCCGGCGCACCTATCCATGTCGCGGTGTATTCACGAGAGATTCACTTGGGAAACGAAGACTGCGCGAGTCTCCGATGCGCGTGTGATCTTAATCATGATGGGGAATACTGATATTCTTTTAACCAGTCGGAAATATTCCCTTTTGAAGTCCTAAGCGATCTTATGACTGACGATTTACTTCATTCATGCCTGTTCAAATAGTACTATATTATATGCACCTCTCCGATCTCCGACAGACCGGATAATTAAAGACGCAACGGACGAAAGGGCGTTGTTTAATTCATGATCGTGCGAAACGAGGTACGGCAAGTATTTTAGGGTAAGGTAACGTTACATATGCGCGCCGCCTCGTCGGTTGGTACAATTCTCACCCTCATCCACTACCCTCTTTCCGTTCAGAAAGACGCGTGCTCGCTGCGTTTCCTTCCCCGTCCCATCTTCCCTCGGTCCCGCGGCAGTGCCCGAATTTTGAACATTAGTTTGCGAACCATTTAGCACAACTACTCTACGCCGCAATCTCGTCGGTCTCTTCCTCTATCTATGAAAGCGGTAGTTGGAATCACGCAGCCTCTGCACACATCGTACGTTCCCTCTCTCCCGCCTACATATAGATTTAACCGCAACACTCTCCCTACCGATGCGATATAGTCATTGTGCATTAAGCCTGGCGATGCGCGTGGCTGTCCCCCCCCTCCCCCTGTTTCCACCCCTGAGGAATACGACAGCTTCACCGAGAATAATTCCGCCAAGAAATTAGACTTTCTAGTAACTCGCGAGATCCGCATGAATCTTAGCGTAAGACACGCGCAATACTACTCTTAGATGATTCTTAAACTTGTTTCATATTTTGCGAAGACATTCTCGTAGAAACTTTGTGCGGAACCAGTTAGGCATAAACTTCAGAGCGGATAAAACTAACATATAATGTATTTAATAATCATAACATTGGCCCTGTGATTAATTACGTTTCTTGCAATGTGCTGCTCGCTTCAGTTCATTACAAGATCATGAAAGTTTAATTATATAATGTTATATTAATAAAGATAGGCAATTTATGCTCCTTCAGTCGTTTTTGATCTGTTTTTATATCAAAGACGTAAGATAATTTTGAATTATCTTAGTTGTTTTCAAAATTTTTTCGAGAAGTTTCTAAAAATTTTCGGCGCATATAAATCAATTATATCAAGCACTTTCTGTTTCTTATTTTCTGCTTCTTTTCAAATCGCAATTAAATCATTCATAATGCCTACATAGCGGCCGTTTTACGCAACACTAAATCTAAATTTATTTTTCTTGAAAGACAATTTTATTTTAGAACGATGACAGAATTTGGATCCGGAAAATTTTCCGGCAAAATAATAAAGTCAAGTTATTTTCCGATTTTAAGAAAATAAATATTTAATTATAATATATAAATCAGATTATCTTGTATCGCAAAATCTGATCAATTAAATAATCTATTCGCGGCGAAACATCATACATACAATAAAATTAATATTTAATTCAATGAAATAACGGAATTATGCCAATAATCGTTTTTAATCGATCGTATAATAATACGATGGTTTACAATGAAGTTACATTAATGTCCTTTGAAATATTAACGAAATCAAATTAGCAGTTATGTGTTGTCTAATTCTGAAAATAGAAGGATTGGCAAATTCAATTACCGAGCGCACAAAGTCGAATCTCGATAAAAACAAGGATTGCCGGAAGGATCGTTTCTCGATCGCGAGCGGCCCTCCTCCGAAACGAGAGGCATCTTCTGATTTCAATGGTTCAGCTCGATAGTCGCTGCGCAATTTTGAGACTCCGTTGTCAAACTCTGTGCCACACGCGCTCAATTTGATCGCGCGTACAATTCCTAGGACCTCCCGATTCTCTCGCTCGAGAAGCCGCGGACGCCGGACGCGGCTTCCGAAGCTCCCCGAGGTACCGGCAAATTAATCTCGAGCTGAAGTTCGGCAGTTTGCTCGACTGCAAGACTCTCATTCTCCCCCTCCGCCCGCCGTACCCCTCGATCGCGGTTTCGCCTTGCGGAACGTGATATTACTTGTGAAAACAAATAATAATGGAATAGAGTAGTATTATTAGATCGGGACGATAATTAGTCGTTTCCCGACCAAGTTTTGCGTTAAATAAGGCTGCCGAGCTTTCTCTCGAATTTTCTAAAGGAAAAAGCTTTATTTAAAGGTAACAAAAGAACGGTGAACAGTGTCTATTCATATATATGTATGAATTATAGAATATTTTAATTTTTTTATATAATTAATGAGTTATAATTATGTAAATATTAAAATTAAATTTGATTCTATTATTACATTAAAAATTAATTTTTATCAATCGATTTCACCGTAAATTATTGTATTGTGATTGTGAGGAACGCCAAACACGTATAAATCATGATCACATTTCACTTTTTAATTATTTCTAGATATTTGTTTTATAATCGGAATATTTTCAAACCGATATCCACACGATAATTTAATAAAACAAAACATTCTAATTCTATCGAACTAAAATTGATTCATCAATAACCAGTCGCGTAATTAATATTAAAATGATGGTTCGATCACTCGAAGTTTGAATTAGCGCCAAACTTTGGATGGCTTAATAATTATACGTTTGGAAAATGATCTAATCGAAAGATTTCCATGCGAACGATCGAAGTAACGATCACAATGAAAATTATTAGTAGTTTACTAGATTTCTGAAGTATTATGTAGCATTTAAGTACCTTGCCGAAATATCGTCCCTTTATTACGTTTCTCTCTCTCTCTCTCTCTCTCTCTCTCTTTATTTCGTCCCGTTTTCGAAAATGGCGCTCGCCTTTGCCGTACGTCGAGGGGAAACTTGTACGAATTATAAATATGTAGATGAACTTAAAACGTTGTTACACTGAAACTTCGCCGAGCACGGCCATCAGAGATGAAAAAAAGAACCGACGAGTTCCCTCGATGAAGCTTTTAAGAATACGTAATCTCGGAGCGAAGTTACTCTCGCGCGGGATCTCTCGCGCGAATGGCGCGAAGTAGAAAACGCGAATCTTGGAGAACCAAGAGTTGAAAAGTTTTTGTGTTTGTGACTTACCGCGGGCACACACGCGCGACTGGGTTCAACAGCGCAGCGGGTCGACGGTCAGCGGTGCGATCGTCCTCGAGGGCATAACTGTTGCTTCTCGGCGAAGTAGTGCCGGACGTCGAATGGAATAGAATATAACACCGCGCCCCGCGCGTTCCGCTCCGTACCGTACTGCCGGGTAGACGGTGCGCGACTGTGCGCCCGCCACTCTCGCGATCTCCCTTTTATGGGTCGTCGCCCGCGCGTCCGCTCAAACGTCGACACTCGCTACTTGACGGCTAACGTCACACCGATGCCACCGATCCCTCGCGCGCGCTCTTTTTTAGATTTATATGAGAACTTTTTAGACTAACGAGATAAAATCATTTCTTAAATATAGAATAGTAATATAAAACAATATATGATATTAAATTAAACAATATATGATATTAAAAATAAAACAATATATGATATTAAATTATAAAATAATGCTTCTTTCTAGAATTATGCAAGCGCGCTTTCAAAAAATTATTTATCATCAGGCAATTATAAGTTAGATACACATTTTCGATATTCCACACATTTCCCGATATTCTTGAATTTTAAATATCGATTTAAAAAACGCATTACAAAAATTGTAATATAATGAAACAAAGTTAAAAATTAGTTAAAAATAAAATTGTGATTGATAAATCGTCAGATCGTAAATTGCAAATGCATAATGTCTAAAAATAAAAATAAAGTTACGAGATATTAAAACAGCATCAATTTATTAAAATTCGTTTAAATACAAAAATATTATCAAATAATATTGCATAACGGGATTTATGTTGTGTCTTAGGGTAATTTCCTCTTCGCAGGCTCTTCATGTACTCTAACGGGCAGAGTAGAACGCGGACCACATTTCCACACATTGCCATCCTTATCGAGTATACTCGCGCTTGCTGTAATCTGATATTGTCCACCACTACCTGGAACAGTACTTGCACCAACCGCACACGGTGGCACAATCGTAGGACCAGGTATTCCTAAAGACAGTAAAAACTCGCAAGCAAAGAAATCCCGATGAGGTATTACCGTTTGCTGCAATTCGTTTATATTGGAATCCTGCAAATAAATGCATTAATATTATTATTCACTTAATATTATTATTTAAATGTAACAGTGTATTTTTTAGCTTTTTTCATTCCTAATTCATTCTTATATATTAATAGAAATATTCAATATTTCTATTAACATAATTATTATATATTTTGTCATTTAAAAATGCAATAATTTAATTTTTAAAAATTAATGTACAAAATTTTAGTTTTATGTACCTTTTGATCAGAATTTATTTTTGAAGGTGGCGTTGTTGAGATAGAAATGCATACGGCAGCGACAGAGCGGAAGAGAGATGCTCGTCGTCCATGTCGCAATACTCCTTCGACTTTGAGCGCTAGTTGGCTACCTTGCGGCACAGACACTGGTTCACCGAGAACACGCGGTTGAGGCGACACTGATAGCTTAATACTAGTAGTTTGCAGAGTTTGGAAAAAGTACCGTGGAATCGGTAATCTCATCGTTCCGCCGGCGAGCAATGTCACTTGTGACATCAAACAACTGACTCTCAAGTGGCTGATAGCTCCACTCTTGCCATCACTGCCTACCCAGGATGGTGCTAATCGACGCAGCTCGGCACAACAACGAGCCAACTGTCGCATCTCCACCGAATCGCCGAAATGAAAATTCACGGGATCATTCTGCTGCTGATACATTGAAATACCAGATCCACCACAAACTCGTTCAACACTGTTTGCAAGTAATCGGCATATTTCTTGTAATCTATGCGAGATGAATTAAGGTAAATAGTAGAAGAGCGTACTTAAACAAAGACAACAAGAGACAAAAATTATTCTAGCAAAAGGATACGCCCGAATATTTGCCAATGACTCTGGATCAGCATCAAAAGCTGATTGATATAGCCTTTGATAATTTTCTGCACAATTTTTCAAATCTTGTGCTGATTTTCTTAACTATGAAATAATTTATGACATATGTATATGTGTATTATAAATATTACAATAATCAATTATACAAGTCGTACCTGATGTGTAACGCGTCCATATCTCTGAAGATCATCTTTTGTTGCAATGACAACCGTGACAGCTATAGCGGGTGGTGGTGCGGTGCATAACGATCTAAAAATAGTTTTTAATTTTTATTTATTTATTTTTTAGTCCTATTTACTATGATATTACTTACATGCATGAATGTAGTAGCTGTGCTATGGATTGCAAAAATTCACAACGTAATTTTGAATATTCACTTGGAAATTGTAAACTGCGTAATGGAGTGCTAGCGGCTTTGAGCGACGCGCAAGCGCTTGCATAACGCGCTATCGCGCCATTCAACTTTTCTACAATCTCGGCTTTACTCATATTCTCTTCGTCCTCTGTTTTATTCCTGTATCACATTAGAGTAAGATAAATAGAGAATATATAAAATTATATTATATATCATTCTTTTGAAAGTACAAAGCAAAGAAAACATACATAAGACAACATTCCGCTTTTGTAACTAATTCTAAACCAGATAGCCAAAAATGCAGCTGCTCCGATGCTACAGTTTCTTTTAAACCTTTGAATATTTCAGTAGCAATTGTATGATGGCCGTATCTTGCGGCGCTACGCGCGATGCGATATTTCGCCCAGCCATCTACGTTTTTCACAACATTGTCTACTGCCTCCAAACATTCTAAATTCCATTCATATCCTCCAGCCACCATTTGGAATAGTAATGTACAAAGCATTACCTTCTCAAATCAAAATAGAATCTTATGAAAATATATGTTTAATAAATCAAATCGTTTTAGATAAAAAAAGAATAGATCATTTATATACAAATTTACCTTTGTATGTACATGAGAGATTTGTTTGAGCTTTATCAAAATGTCTGGTAAAAGTGAAAGTAATGTATTCTCTCCTAAACTACCGATTGCACCTAAAGCTTCGCATAGTGCGACCGTCTGCTTCTCATTTTGATCATTTTCTGCACTGGCATTGATAAGAGTAGAACCAATAGCATCGACGAACATACTGCAATGACTGGGTTGTGATTGACATAATTTTACTATCGAACGTAGACATGCCTTTAATTGATGTAGATGCTTGTCATCCAGAGCCAATAATACGATCAAAGATTCAAGACAAGAGATTACATCTTGTATACCATAAGCGGGCAATCCTTCTTGATAACTGTTAATAAAATGTATTAATTGTCTATTCTATGCATCTAAAAAAGTAAGATTTTAAATATACATACCAATAACAGGCAACTCTAGAAAGTATAGTAATCGCTTTTACTGCGACAAACGGATCAGGTGAATAACATGCATTTAAACATAATTGCAATAAGGGACTATTTTCCTCCATGTTTGCATCACATGTTGCAGCATTTTGGCTAAGTACCTTCATTTCAACAAATATTTGTGTTTACACATATAAGTATATATTGTGAAAGAAGTTTTTATCAAAATAATTATCGATTAAAAATATTTGTATCAACTTAACTGACCTCAATTACATCTAAAGTACGAATAAGAAGATCTGTATTTCCCGCACCATCTTGCAAAAGTGTTGTGGTACTCTCTAAATTATTAAATTTGATTTAAATTATTACATCATACTCGCATAAATATTAAATGTTTGATAAATTATAATACCAATTAAATTATTGAGAGCACCCTGTGGCCAGAGATGTGCCCCTCTTCTAGCTAAACTATGCAGAAGATACAGGGCATGACGTTTAACAGACAGTCTTGGGTCATTTTGCAAATAGCGTAATAATAACGCAACCTGTTGCGGTACATCTATTAACGTTGCAGAAGCCAAAGTGCTTAGCGCACTCAAAGTGACTCTAACAAATTCTGCTGCTGGATAACTTGCAAGAAGCTCCATACATAATTCATTTACCTTCAATAAAACAATTGTATGTATATTCGTTCTAACCAAAAAATATATCACTGTAAAATATATCACTTGAATATATCAAGTCAATCAATCAACATCAATTATGCAAAATGTTATACCATTGATGCTGTGAAAGTGTCATGATGCATATATTGTAGGATCGGTATAAGCTGCAATTTCATCGAAGCAGGAGTCGCTTGACCTCTGATCATGTCAGAAATCTTACTACACATAGATACAGCGAATAATTTAGACTGTGCTGCAAACATCTGAGCTGCATATATTGCAGCTTCTACTTCAACTGAATCATGAGAATCTAAAGATCTTCTTATACTGTGATGTACCTTGTATAATAATTAATAACTTCATTATAACTTATTTCCATAAAGCTAAAGCTTGTCATCTTTCTAATTGGTTTACCTGCTGCCTTTCAGGAATAATGCCCGCTACACTGCCTAATGTACGCAAAGTAAGAGCCCTGGCCACTGGATCATTGGAATGTATAACACTATAGATACGTCTTACAAATTCATCTACATTCAAAATTTTATCCAGATGCTTTTCGCTCTGCTGACTCACTCTTAGAACCCATACTCGTAAGAAATTACTCCCGGTGCGAAATACTTCAGCCAATTTTAGCAAAGACGAGTTTATTAATATTGGGAAAGGATATTTCTCAAATAATCTAGGAAAGCGTACTATAGCTTCGCATTGTTCCCCCGTCTTGGTAGAGCGTAAACCTACAATCACATTTGTAATTACAATAAATTTTTATGTAATATGATTACTCAATATTTTTCTAATATTCTCCCATTTAAAATAATTATATACTGCAGGTTAGAAAAATCGACAAGTGCAAATTAACCTTTATCAAGCTCTATAAGAGCAGTATTTGCATCCTGCTCGGGTTCTCCAAGTCCGGTATCATTAAATGCATTCAGTCTCATTCCCATCATATTTTTCACAAAGTAAATCACACGCAAAGTTAAACAATCGTTCTGTCACAGAACGTGTCCCGTATAACTTATTTATCTGAAACGTTCACCATCAATCACTCAGTTGGAATTGATTTAAATAATCATACATGTAAAAAAAACTGTCGATTATTTAATTACTCAATCAACAAGCATTTATTTCGTTCCTCATCAACAATTGAAAGTCTCATTTCATTTTGTCTCTCTTCTTTCAACTGACCCGCCATAACAGCGGCTTTATTATCATGACGTTCCAACTGACGAAGGCATTCTAGATGACGTTTCACGTCTCGTGAATTTTCTTAATAAAACCTATAATAATTTTTTATATTTTGATCATGTTTATTAAACTTTCTTTATCGTAGAGATGCGTACATTTTTATTTTTTAATAGAATTTTTCAATGATGATTTTTTTCCTCTATATTTATAAAATAATTAGAAATATGTGTTTAACGTATGTCTCGATCGATATCTGGCTTTGGCCTGCCATCTTTCGTCTTTCTTCGCGATTGCTGCCAAGTCGGCAGTACAGACGGCAATTGAGTTTCGACAAGAGCGATTGGAGAGACAGAAGAGATAGTCCGCGGTTTCCGTGCGTGACATTCATTGCGAGAGGAAAAAACAAGGAAGGGATTAGTCCAAGCTCGGGGATTCCTCGTATAGAAGTAATCTGACAGCAGGTTCATCCAGACGATACGATGGTGGATTACAGCAAATGGAAGAGTATCGAAGTAAGAATGATAACATTGGTCGTTCCTTCCGGGTCCAGTGATCCAGTGGAATATTCTGGAAGAAGCTCAAAATTAAGTCGTAGACCGGCGCGTAACTCTTGTACTGGAGATAAATTTGATATGCTTTGTCAAAACGTCAACTGCTCAAAGATCTGATTCGATTCATTTATTCTCTTATTTTAAAATATAGTTTATATATCGCGAATATATAATCGAGCGTTTTTTCCAGAACGTCGTCATAAATCACTCACTGCGAATTCTCGGAGATCAAAATAATCTACCTCATTCCTTATAAACTTTTTAAGAATTTGATTTATTTTATTTATTTTATTTTATTTATTCTATTTTATTTATTTTATTTATTTTATTTATTTTATTTATTTTATTTATTTTATTTTATTTATTTTATTTTATTTTATTTATTATTTTATTTCTATTTTATTTATTTTTTTTATTAAACAAATTGAAATAATATTATTTAAATACTTTGATTTTATATACTCAAATATTTTTGTACTGATAAGTTACTATTCTTGTTATTAGATACTATTCTTATTATTAGATTTCTGACGATGAAGATGATACGCATCCTAACATTGATACGCCATCGTTATTCAGATGGCGTCATCAGGCACGACTGGAAAGAATGGAACAGCGCAAGAAAGAACAGGAGGAACATATGAGAAAGAAAGCAGAGTATGACTAGAATATATTAAATGTGTTAAATAATGTTTTCTCTATTGTATATAAAATTAGGCTAACTTTTGTTATATTTGTTTTTTTAGAACATTGCAAAAACTTAAGGATACAAAAGAGAAACTAGCTAAATTAGAAACTGAACATAAAGATTCGGCTGACTTAACTGCATTGAAAAAAGTTCTTCAGGATTTGGAAGAAGAGGAAAAAAAGATCAATGAACTGGAGAAGGAAATGGAAAAGAAGGAAAGATTGACACCATGGAATATAGATACTATTGGACAAGATGGTTTTACAAAAACTGTAATAAATAAGAAGCCTCCTAGGAAAAATGATGATTCTGACCTATCTGATGAAGAAAAAGAGAAACGAATGAAGCAATTTGTTAAAGAGCATGAGAAGGAATTGAAATCATTTGGTATGTTAAAGAGATATGATGACAGCAAGAAATTCTTACAGGAACATTCATATTTAGTTTGCGAGAATACGGCAAACTATCTGGTCATCTGGTGTATCAATTTGGAAATGGAAGAAGTAAGTTTGACGAGCAATCGTTTTATTGCTATACTATCTAATGTCTCAACAAGGAAATTAAATAATTGATAAATATAATAATTGATATAATATTCGTTGTATATTTTTTTAGTAAACATAATTTGATGGAGCATGTTGCACATCAGTGCATATGCATGCAATATATATTAGAGCTATCCAAGCAGTTGGACATTGACCCGCGGGCATGTGTCGGCTCCTTTTTCAGTCGTATTCAGAATGCCGAAGTAGAGTATAAGAATTCCTTCGATGACGAACTCAACGCCTTTAAGGATAGAATACGCAAGAGAGCAGCAGAAAAAGTAGCTGATGCGATTAGAGAGGCCGAGGAGGAGGAAAGGAAAGCTCGTTTAGGTCCCGGTGGACTCGATCCGGTTGAAGTGTTTCAAAGTCTTCCAGAGGTAACTAAAATTTGTCTCATTATATAATATTAAAAAATATCAGATTTTTAAAAAATTCTTTGTTTCTATTTCAGTCTTTACAAAAATGTTTTGAGACGCAAGATATTCCTTTGTTACAACGAACGATAGAGGCGATGCCGGAAGAAGAGGCAACATATCACATGAAACGTTGTGTTGACAGTGGTCTTTGGGTTCCTGATGCGAAAGCTAAGGAGAAGGAGAAGGAGAAAGAAAAAGAGAAGGAGAAGGAGAAAGAGAAGGAGAAAAGAGAACAGCAAAACGATGAGGGAAAAACACCAGATCCGGAGTAACGCATTTAAGTTGAGCGTGCTTGCATCCTATCGATACTCAATGAAAATCAGTATCTCATTTACACACATCATTTATTCTTTACATAATCTAAAACGGGTAATTACTAATAAAATTATTGTCTCTGCGAATTCTGGCAATATACAATTATTATCTCCATCAGCTTTTTCTTTCGTCATCGTGATATCACGTTGGCACGCCGTTAATTTGAACTGAATTAGTTCATAAGACTGAGTTGTCGTTTCATAAATAGAAAACTTGGCACATGTGTATGAAACATGTAACTGAGTAGTATGAATATTAGTGTTGAAGCTATATAATTCTCACTTTCGTGTATGGTTTGTATTACTATTGAAATTGCCTTTTCATGTAATGTATATATATATTGTTAACCACAATTTATAATTATTTCGATGTTTTACATCCCCTCCTATAACACTAATATTGTATATTAATCGGGAACAACATTGTTATGTAAATAAAATCAAATATATACCGAAATTGTTATACCGTTGAAATTACAAGATGTGTAATATTTGTTTTAAAAAATCATTTAGTTTTCAATTTTAATTTTCCTACAATTTTTTCGTTAAATCTGAATCATTTTCTCGAATTTTTCGTATTAAAAACAAAAAAGAAATTAATTTTTCAAGTAAAAAGAATATTACTTAACACGCGTTTGCTCGTAATAATCCGTCTGTGAAGTCAGTCCAGTTAAATATCACAATTTATATAAAACACCTTTTTTTTAATCTTATTGTTAATTATAATTTTATATTATTACTATATACATTGTATGTATATATATTTATATATTTTATTATTGTTAAATAGAATCATTAATTCAATTTATGGACCTGTAATAACTTTCAGAATAAACGACAGAAGCATCTTCAGAGCGAAGCACATTTAAAGAAACCCGCCACTAAGCTCGAATTTAAAAGGCGGCGCTTATCGAGCTCTCGATCGAGTCGCAACAGCGTACATATACCGGAAGCGCAGGCACCTCGTCCTCTTCCGGCGCGGCGTTGTCACAGACGTGTAGGTAATATTTTTCGTCTTTCATTCTCACCACGATACGACAGTCTCATCGACTGCGAGACGGCTGCGCTGGCTTTCCATTAGGACGGGCGGGGCGCGCCACTCAGTTGGCGTTGTTTTCGCAACGTTGCGACACGCGATCGCTCGGAAATCCTCTGAGAACGCGAGAGGCACTCGCCCGTCTGTCTGTCTATTTGTCCGTTCCCCGCACAATCGCCGTCGTCTTGTCCGAAGACACACCTAATGGAAAACCAGCCTGCCGTGCTCCGCTCTTGTCTCATCCTCGCTTACGCACTTTGCATGGCGACGTCGGCCAGCTTGGCGTTCTAGAGCCGGTCCATTCAGATCCATTTGACCAACGGTTAGTGTGGACTCTTCCTACCTGCTTTTAACGAGGAATGTGTGCTAGAGTTAAGCGCGAGTTCCTGAGCTCGAAAAATTCGTTGTCTGTACGGTACGTATAACTTGACATTGTGACGCGCGCTGCGAGCCTTTCTGAAATTGTTTCGTTCCCTCGTGACAGAGTCTTTACCTCGATCTAGAAAGTTCATTGGACGTTTTATTTCGATTTGAATAGCTAAATCGTCTTGTCATCGACATCGGGTCATCACGGTAACAATTATTACGCGATTTTCTAGCCTTTAAAGCGTAAAATCATTTTCGCGAAAAAAATCAATAATTCATAAAATTCGCCTTCTCCTTCGCCTTTTAAAACTGCTTCGTTATTGATCGCCATGATGGTCTTTCGCGACGTCTACGTGTTACGTAATTGTTCCCTCGTTCGGAGCAACCGTTTCGACTATCAATCTCAAACTCGTTTTCTGGAATGTATGAAAATTTTTGTAAGGGGATTCCCACGAAAACGTGGCATTTTCATAAACTGCCGCGCTATTCTCGGCAACTAATTGGTCGCGCGCATAAAGTAGAACTCGACGATAAGATAATCGAAAAAGAGGAATGTGACGCCGCGCATTCTGGGTAAAATCGTCGGCGACTACTCAAAATGGCTGTACAACGAACTGCGTTCGATTTCCGTTTCGGGTGTCGTGTCTTACGTCAAATTTTGCTCGATCCCTCGCGTGCGAATCGTCGGATCTGTGCGGGAAAAATCGAGCGATGAATTTTGCCGGATTTTAATTTGCCTCCCATTGCGATGTCGCATCGTGTAAGATTTTCAAGTCTTTCTTGCGTGAGAAATTACGTTTCTCCAACAAGACGCTTTTCCGGTGCGCACGCGCACACATGTTACAGCACGAACGCCAGCCTGAGTCATGCGCGACGTGTGCGTCCTCTCGGCTCGTCTCCCGTTCGATCTCGACCAATGCGCTGCCACGCTCGCGCCTCAGCAGCGCGGGATTGGCAGCGGTGAGTGGCGGGGGCGAAAGGGTGACGAGATGGCGTGCGCGTTGCATGACGGGAATACGGCGGAGTGGGGGAGGGCGAAGAAGCACAAGTCGGGTTCACAAAATGGCGGTCTGGCTCTCGAGTCCGTGACCATATAGCGCACGATACTCGCATAGTTTCTCACGATGTCGGGGCTCGCGGTGTCAAACGTGGCCTGATATCGCGAGCACGTGTACGCGTGACAGTGCTGTACGATTGGGGATCGACGCGGATTCGCGCAACGCGCGTCGGTGATAACGTTGGTGGGTCGTCGGTGCGACGCGTAGACGGAGCCATGCAGGTGAGTGTGCCAACCTCCGGACACCCCCGAGATTCGGGCGCGATTTTACCCGCGTTAATCTTCGCGATAATTCTCATCGAGGACGCCTCACCGATGCGTCCTACCTGCGTTCGATGCGTCCGCGTGCATTCGCGCGTCGCGACCGCAGTGTTGTTTGGAACAGGGACAAATCGCGTAGCCACATGCGTTTCCGCGTACCGACGTTCAACAAAAACCTCTCGAAACCGCGAAAAAACCCCGGATGTCTGCCCGCAAAGGGTTCTACGCGTAGGGCGGGGTCTCTCGAACCGTCCGGGCTCAGGAACTTGTGCCACCCTCGCCACAATTTTCCGCGACTTCACACACTTTCCCAGCCCCTCAATAACCTATAAGGTTTGTTTACATCGCGTCAACCTGACATTTTTCACAGAAAATAACGTTGTACCATCCTAATTTTCGTCGCAAACGATTCCTCACATTTCCCTCCGGCCTGGCGTCATACTTATTTAAAAATCGAAAATGTACCCATTTTCGCAAATTGAGCTCGAATATTGTCGCGCACAGTCCTGCCTGGTGTCTAGGAATGTGCGACACAATTCTCGCGATGAATGCCCGTGATTTCAATGCATTTTCATCGGGGTAACGTCAGAAATGATCTACTTTTTTAACCTTTAAAAGTTCTTTTCAAAATTTTCAGTAAAAAATCTATAATTTTGGCACATGACAGATACATTGGATCCATCAAGGGGCTTCATAACCTTCGACTATATTGGAAAATTCTATTTATGTCATTTAGAATGTTGTTAAATACAAATTTCTTTTGCATTTGTTGTACGAGGTGAGAATTATGACTGCAAAGAATATTTGGAATAAAACTGCAGTGTGTTGTGATAAATTTAATTCAATTTGATAAGGAATTTGTCTTTATATGTCATGAAAATAATATCAAAAACAATTATATACTTGTTATTCATTCATTTGTAAAAAGCTTTTTGTAATTTTTGAAGCAGTAATGGGGTTAGTTAAAATGCATTTAGATAAATTAATATAAAGATATTTATGCAAAGAAATATGAAGATAATTGTGCAAAATTTTAAAACTATGTAGTTCTTGGACATTTCATCGTTACATGCATGTAACATATAGAAATTTCCATGGATTTTTACAACAGATATATAAAAGTCCATAAATAATAGTGAGCAGTTAAATTATCGCTTCCATATTTGCGTTTATTTGTGTTCACACTTTATTTCTCATAATTAACAACATGTACTTTTTGCACCATCATAATGCATTAATAAGATTGGACATTACTCCATGAATAAATTAAAATTAATTTATTTGTTTAACAATATCCGAGCTCAATTTTTTCCATTGAGTCATACAATTTTTCATCATGATGTATAAAATTTTATATTGTTATAAAAATATATAATTTTAAAAATGCATCTTGTTCTCATACATTTTTAATAATTCGTAATGTCAGCACTATATGTTATAGTCTACAGTATAGATTATTTTAATATTTAATCATACATATCACTGTCTAATGTGATGCCTTGGTTGAAAATGTAGCATATATCACTAATGTTTGTTACAGAAAGAGAGCAAGGAACCTACGCTCTATGTATATTCAATTAATGTAGGTATGCAAACAAAACTCTGCATTGATTGCAAGAAAAAAATTTACTTTTGTAACTTTCGGATTCTTTTCTTTTTTTCAACATATCTGTAACGATAATCTTGATTATAATTATTATAACCAGTGATATAGATTTGCAGATGTAAATAATTATGACAAAGAGTGATAAATATAAATATTAATATGATTATAGTTAAAATATTGACAATATTTTAATTTGTTCGTTTGATCTGTTCGAAGATAATGAAATACATACAAATTAATATATAACATATAGTATTTACCTAATTTGCTACAAATTAAATAATAATAATAAATATATTTATTAGTTATACATATATTTTTCTGTATACATTTACATATCTTAATCAAACATTAAAGACTGAGATATGTAGTTGTTAAAATATATTTAATAAACATATGATCTGTTGAATGACGATTTCTGTTGTTCATTATCAGTGCCCAAACCTTTGTTGAGCACCTCCAAATAAATTCCTTTCATACAATCAACATTATAAGCGACTGCAGTATGCGATAGACTGGTACAAACGTGTTGACTTGGAAGATATTCCGTCTGCGTTTAATTTTACAGATACTCGAACGAACGTGGATAAATATTTCCCTGTTAAATATGAAGAACTCTTGCGAAATTTAATATAAAGAATATATTAAATGTTATACGAGGCAAATAATTTTTTTAACGCTTTTACCTAGGCCGAAACCATCGTGCAAATATAAGAAGATAGCGATAATTTTATAAAATATCTTATATTGCGTTTTGCTATTCTAAGAAGATAAAATGGCGGACGACGGCCACAAAATGGAGGAATTCGTGCTAATGGAGTTGCTGGCGGACTGATCAAAGAAAATAAAAAGATGCGCAAAAAAGTCCTACCGTTCTCTTCGATCACGAATTTCTAGCTTGCTATTCTTTGCCGTATTTATAATTGTACCATCCGTTCAGAATAAAAAGATTTGTTTTTTAATATAAATGATAATGTAGGGCGTTTAATAATGCGATAAGCGTTGGGAGGGAGGGTGGGAGATGAAGGCGAACTATTCCAAACAACACACGCGGCGAACGATATCTTACGTAAAAATAAAATCGCAATTACATGTGGCCGATATGATTGACTTCCAGAAAACATTGGAATCCGAATCCGGTAAAGAATCCGGATCCGATTCCGAGAATGAAAGCAAAAGCGATAGCTCCTCTTCCGGCAGCAACAGCGGCTCGGGATCGGGATCTGAAAGGTGGGTATGGACAGGGATTTGGCTCATTTCCCTGAAAATCGAGACCTGATACACGAACTTGCATCAGCGAGATTACATACTTCCCTGGTAGGAAAAAGATACTTCAATAAAAATGTTTGATTTTTGTTTAGCTTTAAACAAGTTTCGAAAATTTAAAGAATTGCCATTTAGATGCTCAATTTTGTTTATATTTATTTATTATTATACCTTCGAGATAAGTATTCATCTTATTTTATATAATTACGGAGATATATTAACGTAAGCTAAATTGGAGCTGAGTACAAGTGCATATCAGGTTCTCTGATGTGTAAGGGTTTCTCAAAATCAGTGCCACTTGCAAACTTGTGTATTGCTACAGCTTCATATAGCACTAACAATGTCTTGATAATTTTGCTAACTTTATGTACCCTATTTTGGGTTTTTTTTCTTTGTGAGCACACAATCCTTATTACATTACGTGTATATTAAGACATTTGCTTCCTTGTACTCGAGTATCAATACAGTGTTAGATAAGCTGTAATATTCGTAGCGTTAGTCGACATACTTTTAAATAGTCAACATATCAAGTACACAGAAATGCATTGATGCAAAATTTATAAAATCAGAGGAAGATAATATTCACGTTTTAAACATCCTGAAGTATATTAATGTGCATATAGAACACACAGCTTTTTATATTTTTTATATCGTGCACATTTTTTATTTAATTAGTGTGATTAAAATTTTATACATTTATATTATTAATACATAATTGCGTTATTTTTATATAATGACATCTTTATACAGAATTTATATAAAAAAGAATTTTATATTTTGAATTAAATTATTTAGAGCTTTTTGAAACATTAAAAAGAAAATCTGTCCTTGTCACAGAATAGATAAGAGGAAATGAAATCTAAATAGAATCTTAATTAAATATTAGATAATAATTATTACCACGTAATTTCTATCTGAATTAATTTTCTATCTAATTTCTTTTTATTCCAACATTACGATAACATTACGTTATCGCTGTTAATTATTCTGAGCAAATACTTCGAGATGCTGTATCAATGTATGTCATCTATACATAATTAGTGAAATAAAACGTTGCCTGGCTGCTTTTAACGCAGCGACTCTAGCTCCTCGAGCGGTTCCGGTTCTGGATCAGGCTCCGACTCGGAAAAGTCGGAGAAGTCGGATGCACCCGCTGCACAAAGCGATAGCTTCCAGAGCAAAGGCTCGAATCACAGCACCGAAGCAAAGCTTAGAGTTAAACATGAGTCTAGTCGCGAGTGGGATGAGAATCCTGACATATACGGCATCAGGAGATCCGGGCGTTCCAGGAAGGAGCCTGACAGACTCGCGACGAATCGCGAGAGCGACAGTGACAGTCGCAAGAAATTTAAGAAGAAAGGGTAAGTGCGACAAAATCGTCGGGGGAGGAGAGGAGAGGTCGACTCGTCGGTAACGATCGATGTCTAACTCGGCTGAGCGGGCTACCGCAATCACAAGATTCTGCATATTATTTCTACGAATAAACTGCTACATGCTAGCTCAGAGATAAGACGAGTCCGTGATTGTTTGGTAGCTGATGTAGCTAGTCGGTGTACAATTGGCCTGTATATCTTGAACTTTGGCTTTATTTTTCATTCTATAAGAGATGCATATTTTTTGCAACGCTACATCAATACATCTTATGCATTAACCATTTCGTTGTAATACGGATAGGTATTACTTCCGTTCATGTATATTCGCAATATACAACAACTCGATTTTTTATATTTCTTTTAATTTCCATGTGGATTATTTGTCAATTTATTCATATTTACACGTAAATTTATAAATAATTTGTGCGTGCGACAGTAGCTTATCAACGTTGATCGTTACGTAATGTCGCGTAATTTTAATGTAGTTATCTGACGATGCATCAAATATGTGGATCACTGAATTTGTTGCGATGTTTGTCTGACGCTCTTTCAACAAAAGATTACTTACTTTCATTTCCACATTTAATAAACTTTTACCCCATCGCCCTATTTACGTATAATTTATATTATATTTATGCATATACAGGCGTACTTTTGACTATAAATATTAATAAGTGTTTTCATTTGCACTAATCGAATTTCACTTTGGTTTTGCACATAACTGCTTATTACACTCTTCAATTTATTTTTACAATGCAATTTTTTTTCGTTCTCTATGTTATATATCTTAAAGTTATTAAAAACTTAACAGACATCAAGTTTTTTATGTGTTTTATGTGAAATATATGGATTGCTATACATATATCCGTTATTTTCCTATTATAATTTTATTTTTTATAAATATCTTAATGTTTATAGAACATATTAAATAATATATAAATAATAATTAAAAATATTTTTTATTTTATCTTTTATCTCTGTTCTAATTATCATTTTTGGAAAATTATTTCATATTTCTTTTGTATGTATGAAAACATTGCTTATATACAGAAAGTTTTTCATGAAAGTCATAAATAATTTTTTGAAGTATTAAAAGTAAATTAGCAACATAATTTTTTTAGTTAAATGACATTCAATAAATAATTATAAATACGAATTTATTAGATATAATAGGCGCACCGCCTTATGTGTTTAACTTATTGTTTTAGTTCACACAATTCGTGGAATACAGAAAGTTCGGATTCAGAATCTGATGAAACTGAAAATCGTAGGCCTCCACCTAGCAAATCTCTAAACAGACGTGCGGCACAAAAAGCGAAAGAGAAAACTAGAGTGCGGAAGAAACATATTTCTGAATCTTCTGAAAATTCTTCCTTTGACAGTGATGATAATAGAAGGTTTGTGTCTCGACAAAAATTGCCAAAAAAGGTATATGAAACAGAGAATTCAATAACATTTTATATTTAATTATTAGACAAGTTAGTAGACGAACGGGTACGGCGGTTAGTTACAAAGAGGAAAGTGAAGAAGGTACCGATAGCGAGGATTTGGTCGAAGTTGACGAATCAAATGCTGCGTCAACAGAGCCTGACAATGCGGAAACTATTGAACAAATTTTGGGACAGAGGATAGGCAAGAAAGGAGGTTGGTTTTATATGCGTGACACAATACATTGATTATAGTAGTAACTGATAAATTATAAATATATGATATAATTACTTGTAGTTACCGGTAATGTAACAACAATCTATGCCGTGGAAGAAAACGGCGACCCTAATCCCGATGACTTAAGTAACGTGGAAACCGAAGTACAATATTTGATAAAATGGAAAGGCTGGTCTCACATACACAACACGTGGGAATCGGAGGAATCATTAAAAGCACAAAAAGTACAGCATTATTGATATTGCTTTCATTAAATCTTCTTGCTCTCATTAAATCGTAATATCGAGAGATACATATAATCTTATATTTATTAGGTAAAGGGATTGAAGAAATTAGACAATTTTATCAAACGTGAACGTAGAATCGAGCAGATGAGAGAATATGCTGAACCAGAAGAACTAGATTATTTAGAGTGTCAGTTGGAACTTAAACAAGATCTTCTAAAAAGTTACAACAATGTCGAAAGAATTATTGGTATAAAATTTTTATTTAAAAATATATTAAATAATATTTAATGCTCTTTTTTTCTATTATATAAATTTCTATTATATAAATTATTATGAACCATCGTGTTTTTTTTGTTTAGCTGATTATAAGAAACCAGACTCAGAACATCCCGATTATTTCTGTAAATGGGAGAGTTTACCATATGCCGATGCTACATGGGAAGATGGAACATTAATAGTTAAAAAATGGCCAGAAAAAATAAAAGAATTTCGCGATAGAGAGGATTCTAAAAGGACACCTAGTAAACATTGTAAAGTCCTTAAATCCAGACCTAAATTTTATCAATTAAACGAACAACCCGCCTACATGGGCAAAGAGAAAGACTTAGTATTGAGAGATTATCAGATGGATGGACTTAATTGGATGATACATTCTTGGTGCAAGGAAAATAGGTATATAAAACCTTTAATAATATTCTTGAAATTATTTATATTTATATATTTATTCAACCTATTTTATTTATCTACATTTTTAGTGTTATACTAGCCGATGAAATGGGTCTTGGTAAAACAATCCAAACGATATGCTTCCTTTATTATTTATTTCATACGCAACAACTTCATGGGCCATTTTTATTAGTAGTTCCTCTGTCGACAATGACTTCCTGGCAAAGAGAGATGTCTCAATGGGCACCTGACATGAATTTCGTCACTTACTTGGGCGATGTCAATTCTCGTAATATTGTAAGCATTATTTTTTATCACTTTGCAATACTTGATACTTGCTAAGTTTCTCTAACTAAATTATATAAATTCAGATTAGGGAATACGAATGGTGCTACCGAGGTTCAAAGAGACTAAAGTTTAACGTCATACTTACGACGTACGAGATAGTACTTAAGGATAAAGCGTTATTAGGTGCCTTAAATTGGGCGGTGTTGCTAGTGGACGAAGCTCATAGATTAAAAAATGACGATTCCCTGTTATACAAAGCTCTTAGCGAGTTTCATACCAATCATCGTTTATTGATTACTGGCACTCCATTACAGAATAGCTTGAAAGAGCTGTGGGCCTTACTACACTTCATTATGCCTACAAAGTTAGTTTTTATTTTTCTAGATATATAAAGTATATGTAAAAGTATGATTTTGTTAGTATATGATTACACTATTTTTTGTATTTATTTTTATTGTACTGCTTGGATATAGATTTACCTCTTGGGAAGAATTTGAGAAACAACATGACAATGCTGCACAAAAGGGATATTCCAAGTTACATAAACAATTGGAACCATTTATCCTGCGCCGAGTTAAGAAGGACGTCGAGAAATCTTTGCCCGCTAAAGTCGAGCAGATCTTACGAGTAGAAATGACATCTTTGCAGAAACAATATTACAAGTGGATTTTAACCAAAAATTATGAAGCGTTGCGAAAAGGTGTAAAGGGTTCTACCACGACATTCTTGAATATTGTTATTGAATTGAAAAAATGTTGCAATCATGCCTTTCTTACGAAACCAATCGAGGCCGAAAAGGAAAAGTCCAACTTAAATTATTTACAGCAATTAATTCGTGGTTCTGGTAAATTAGTGCTTCTGGATAAATTATTAGTGAGATTGCGCGACACAGGACATAGAGTACTGATATTTAGTCAAATGGTCAAAATGTTAGATATTCTTGGTGAATATCTGCAGAGGAGGCATTTCCCATTCCAAAGATTAGATGGAAGTATAAAAGGAGAACTGAGAAAACAGGCATTGGATCACTTCAATGCCGAAGGATCGCAAGATTTTTGTTTTTTGTTGTCAACGCGAGCGGGTGGTCTTGGCATTAATCTTGCCACTGCGGACACTGTGATAATTTTCGATTCTGACTGGAATCCGCAAAATGATTTGCAAGCTCAAGCCAGAGCGCATCGAATAGGACAAAAGAATAAGGTGCGCTAGCGATTGTTTTAACTTGATGCTCACTTGTATGAATTTTCAAATAGCTTCACTCTTATCAAATCAAATTTATATTTTGTTTGTCATACAAATAGGTAAATATCTATCGATTGGTTACCAAAAAGTCGGTCGAAGAAGAAATCGTAGAACGTGCGAAGCAGAAAATGGTCTTGGACCATTTAGTGATACAGCGAATGGATACAACCGGACGGACAGTATTAGATAAAAAAAATGCGGGGACCAATAGTAATCCGTTCAACAAGGAAGATTTGACTGCTATTTTAAAATTTGGTGCCGAAGATTTATTTAAAGATGAAGAAGACGGAGACGAAGAACCAGCTGTAAGTTCGTCAATATATATCATAGCTTATTGATATAATTAACAATTAATATTTTTGTTATAAGAAATATTATATATATATATATATATA